GATGAAAGATCTTGTTGATATGTTGCCCCAAAATTGCTCCAATCGCCACATCATTAGCATCACACATGAGCTCAAAAGGAATGCTCCAATTTGGGATTGTGATAATGAGAGTAGCTATCAAATTGAACTTCAGCAATTCAAATGCTCTTATGCAATCATCATTGAAGTGAAATTTAGCAGCTTTCTCCAAAAGCTTGCACAAGGGGTTCACCACTTTAGAAAAATCTTTTATGAAACACCGGTTGAACCCCGCATGACCCAAGAAACTTCTCACGCCCTTCACGAATGTTGGAGGTGGAAGTTTAGAAATCACTTCTATTTTCACCTTGTCGACCTCTATCCCCTTCTTTGAAATCTTGTGGCCAAGGACAATACCCTCCTCGACCATGAAATGGCATTTCTCCCAATTCAACACCAAGTTCGTTTCTTCACACCTTGCCAATACCTTATCCAAATTTTTCAAGCAATCATCAAAGAAATCCCCGACTACCGAAAAGTCATCCATGAAGACTTCAAGGTAGTCCTCTACCATATCCGTAAAGATCACCATCATACACCGTTGAAAAGTTGTCGGTGCATTGCATAAGCCAAATGACATCCCCTTGAAAGCGAAAGTGCCATAGGGACAAGTGAAAGTTGTTTTCTCTTGATCTTCCTGGGCAATAAGGATTTGATTGTAGCCCGAATATCCATCCATAAAGCAATAGAATGCCCGGCCGGCCAACCAATCAAGCATTTGGTCAAGAAAGGGTAGTGGAAAATGGTCTTTCCTTGTGACTTTGTTTAGCTTCCGATAGTCCATGCACACTCTCCATCCGGTCACTGTTCTTGTTGGAATCAACTTCTTCTTATCATTGGTGACCACAATTATGCCCCCTTCTTCGGAACACATTGCACCGGAGAAGTCCACGAACTGTCTGAAATGGGGTAGACAACCACGACATCCAACCACTTTATGATCTCTTTTTTTGACCACCTCTTGCATTGCCTCATTGAATCTCCTTTGATGTTAAATGGAGGGTTTGGAATCTTCCTCGAAATTAATCTTATGCATGCAAAATACGGGCCTTATTCCCCAAATATCCGCCAAAGTCCACCCAATAGCTTTCTTCCTCTTGTGGAGCACCACCAATGTAGAGTCAACCTACATGTTAATCAAACAAGAGGAAAGAATAACCGGTAAAGTAGAGCAAGGGCCAAGGAATTCATACCTGAGATGTGGAGGCAATGGATTCAACTCCAAGATAGGAGGCTCTTCAATTGAAGTCTTTGTAGGAGGAGTTTTCCCCGACGTGCATAATTGTATGACCCTATCCTTTGCAAAGAATTGATACATTCCATGAAGCCATCCATTTCATCATCATCAAAATTGAGCAAAGCGGCTTCCAACATGCCACCCACATTAATCATGGCACTAATATCGTCAATAATCACATCGGTCACCAAGTCCACGAACGAATACCCTTCATTGCTATTCGGTTGCCTCATAGATTTTCACACATGGAACACAACCTTTTCATCACCCACACCGGCTTCCACATCAACAAGAGCCTTCCTCGTAGCAAGAAAAGGTCTACCCAGAATAATCAGCACTTCATAGTCCACTTCACAATAAAGAATCACAAAATTCGCCGGGAGAATGAACTTGTCAACTCGAACTAATACATCCTCAATCACCCCCAATGGTCTCTTCATTATATGATCGACCATTTATAATCTCATAGATGTGGGTCTTGGTTGCCCAATTCCCAATGTTTTGAAAACCTAATAGGGCATCAAGTTGATACTCGCCCCAAGGTCACATAGAGCTTTTGTAAATTCGGCACTTCCAATGGTACAAGGAATTGTAAAATAATCGGGATCTTCCAACTTTGGAGCCATCGAATGCACAATTGCACTCACTTGGTGAGTGACTTTGATAGTTTCAAAATTCATCAATCTCTTATTTGTCACCAAGTCCTTCATAAACTTAGCATATCCAGGCATTTGCTCCAAAGCTTCAACTAATGGCACATTTATAGAGAGACTCTTCGTCATATCAATGAACTTCTTGAATTAATTCTCGGCATTTTTCTTGGCAAGACCTTGAGGTTGAGTTGCCTTCAATTATTATAAATGAATTACCTGATTTATTCCTATTATTGTTGTTGTTACTAATATTGCGTACAGGTTAATGTAAGTGAACCGTCTTAGCCTCGTCACTACTTCGTCGAGGTTAGGCTCAGCACTTACCAGTACATGGGGTCGGTTGTACTAATACTACACTCCGCACTTCTTGTGCAGATTTTGGAGTTGGTCCCAGCGGCGTACCATAGACTTGCTCGGATTTCAGCTATCAGAGGAGACTTGAGGTATAACTGCATAGCGTTCGCAGTTCTGAAGTCCCCGTCTATTGTACTTTAGCTGTGTGTTTATTTCCAGACAGCTTTATTTTATTCAGACCTTTATTTGTATTTATTCTAGAAGCTCGTGCACTTGTGACACCAATTCTGGGATGGTATTTAGACACTGTTATTATTATGGATTATTTCAAAATTGCTTTCGCATTTACTTCCTTGTTATTAATAAATTTAAAAATTATTAATGGATAATGTTATTCTAACGTTGGCTTGCCTAGCAAGTAAAATGTTATGCGCAATCACGATCCGGAGATGAGAATTTCGGATCGTGACAATTTCACATCTAACATCTACTAAAGCTATTCATGTGAGTCAGCATATATATCTAAGTCTTTACACTTGTTAGCTCGATAACTAATTATAAGACAAAACCAAACCTCTCAAACAGAATAAACAGTGTAATTAATTAACCAGCAACTATAACTATAAAGCTTCTATTATTATTAACTTTTCCTAAACTATATGCTAACTAACGTCATCATTCTCCTTCCTTGAAAGGATTAATAATAATAGTATCTTTTATTCTATAAATGGAAGAATAGACATCAAACTGAAGTGGAAAGGGAAACAGTTTAACCAAAAAAGCCCTTCCATGTTCCCTAATCCCATTACAATTTTCGAGTGAACTAAAAACGATTTTGTCAAGAAAATTTACGTTCAAAATGTCCAGAAATATTGTTCCTGATCATTATACTCTTTCACTAAATAGACCTGCAAATTTCACTTTCTCATTATTTCTTTTCATCTAAAAGTAAATTTTACTTTTCCAATGTAAAAAAGTGACAGTTATTAAAAATAATCGATATCTAGTACCTACTAAAGTTATTCATGTGGGCCAGCATATATATATATATATATATATATATATATATGAGAGTTTTTTATATATATAATATAATAGAAATTTATACCTATTTTATTTAGGTTTTGTAGTTTTAATTTCAATAACTACCTGAATTTTTCTTAGAGATTGTATATATTATTTCCTTAAAAGGCTCTCACCCCATTATTAGTGCCTTCAATTAAGGGATTCAATTACATTCTTTCCTTTTTTCCCTCTCCTCTCCCATCTCCTTTTTTTCCTTTCCCTAATTTTTTCCGTTTATTTGCCTAGCACACTCTTCCACAAATTGGTCCATTCTAAGATCAAAAATACATATAATTCTCGAGCATACATACATACAATTTCGAGTTTTAAGATTTTGTGATTTGTGTAGATTGGATATTCTTGCAAGTGAATGAGAATATCATTTGGAATTTATATCTCGGTTTTTAGGGAGATTAGTTAAGTATAGAGTTAGTATAGTAGAAGAAGAAGGAGAAGAAGAAGAAAGAAGAATTGTATATGATACACCAATACCTAAAACAAAATTATATCATAAATGTATCATATTTGTATCACAATTGTATCTAACTTGTATTTGATATATTAATACTTAAAACAATACATGATATAATACTAACACAATTCTCATACTTTTGTGATACAAATTACGACACATTTATGAAATTTGTGATGCAATTGTGATCTTCATCGTGTTCAAGTTTCAAATAACTTTAAACCTAAGATCTGATATAATATTGTATTAAATTTGTATTAGTATTGTATCATATATTATTTTAGGTATTAAAATATCAGATACAAGTAATACAATTTTAATACAATTCTAAAATAACTGTGATACATTTATCATACAATTATTATACAACTCCTACAACTTTGTTTTTTTCAAGTTTCAATGTAAAATTGTATATAAAACCAACTCTAAACTAAACTAATTTCCCTCAAAATTGAGATATAAGCTACAAGGTATATTCTCCATCATTTGCAAGAACACCAAATCCAAACAAATCACAAATTCGTAAATTTTGAATATTGAATTTAAACTTTTGAAGCTTTTTAATGAATGTCGATGGAGAACCCTTTGTTGCTGCAATTTTAAAGATAATGTTTTTGCCATTTTCGTTTACATTACGAGAGAAGTACCTATTTTGGATAAATATGAAGGAGGGAGAATGAGATGTGAAATCTTTTGAAAAATAGATGAAATTTAGTTTGG